TATTATTATCATCTCAAACTTACTTTTTTATTTTCATGAAATGGGTTTATGCATGGTTCTCATGTAGTAGAGGTGCAATGTTTTTAGTATATACTCCTGAGTGCCTATGTATATATATGATAAAGCCTAAAATATGTTATTTGCTTCATCTTCAGTGCTACCGGCTGATATAACCGAAAGCTCGGTGGAGAAACGCGCGGTCCCACAGACCGTGTATCCTGAAGCGCAACTGATTATTGCCAACTCCGTTATCAAGAAAAAGGGCAGCACGAGGAAGGCCAAGGCCTATGTTACGAATTATTGGAATAAGGTCTCTCTCTCTCTCTCTCTCTCTCTCTCTCTCTCTCTCATAAAGCCTACTTTCCCTTCTAATAAAAAAAAACGTTTGATTTGTTTGTTTTTTCATTTTTGTTTAGGTATCCAGTGCTTACGCCGGGTTCAGGACTAGTCCTAAAATCCAGATTAAAATAAAAAAGACATACATGTGCTCGGTAAGTTGATACACACATTGGACAATAGAAGTGTCTCCCCCTGAATCAGAGTAATCAATGTTATAATGCATGGTCTACTTATAATGTGACTAATGAGTATAAAACCGCTTCACCATGGAATTGTATCTTTGGTCTTTTTGTGAAATTTGATGTTAATAAAATGATACCAGGAGCATATCATTCCACAGTCATTTATCTCCCCCAAAGTATTGGTTCAGTAGGGGTGACACTTCTATTGTCCAGTGTGTGTAGTTAATAATGTTATGTTAAAAATTACCCCTAGGAAAACTGTTTGACGAAATTATTATTATTATTATTATTATTATTATTATTATTATTATTCAACAAACAGCTTTGGCAACGATGGTCTTTTGTTATCCCAGTACGCCAAACGACTCCTGATTTTTATATCAGGCGTATATTCGTTAAAACATATATTTATTTATTTATTTATTTACTGTTTAACTATAAAAAAGAATGACGCCAAAATTGCTTTTCAGAATGCTGGCAGCACCCTTTGTAAGGGTGTAGACAACTTGGCCAGCCAAAAGTCTGTGCTGGACTATGTCAAAACACAGTGGACCTCGCGTAAAAAACAGAACGACTTTACCATGGTGCATACATGGTAAGTGCAGAAATAGAATACAAATAGAAGTTTTTTCTTAGGTATTATATGAAGCTTTGGGATGGTTTCTGATAGAGTTTTTATTTGATACCAAAATATTCTTTTCGGGAATCTTTTACAAGTATGTTCATATACTGCACTGCAGCAAAGATTTGTCAAAATGAAATTTGGTTTCCTAATCACTGCTTTGATTAAGTTTTGCATTTGTAGCTACTATGGGGTATATAGTAAGGTTTGATCCAAAATTAATTATTTTAGACTTGAGAAAAAGGTGCTAAAAACGACATCATTCTTTTACAGTCTTGGATCAACGGGAAGAGGGAAAGGTATTGTAAAATTTACTCTTCTGTTGTTTCTTTATTTTATATATTTTTCCTTTCCCTTTATTGCTGGAAAATTTTATTTTGCTGTGGAATGTATAGGTAGGCCTATGTGTGGTCATAAAATATTGTTATTCTGTAAGGCACCGTCATTGGAGATACCTGAGACAAAATTATTTACTGTAAAAAATTTTTGGTTTGGATTTTTTTTGGTGGCGGTGAAACGTGGCAGAGAGTCCCCCACGATAGAAAGTCCACTTCCCATTCATCTGTACAGGTAAGTCTCGCCCTAGATTTTGACCCACTTAGGTCAGGCTAACCCTAACCATTATAACTAAATAGAGGGCGTACTTTTTGTTACACTGACTCTCAGTTTCGTTTAACCGGACTACCATATGTTGTAAATGTGATGTCCTTTTTCCTTAGTCCACAAAACTGTCTCACAAAATTTCTTACGCCCGATAATTGTCACGCAAAGAGGTCTTTAGCCTTGCTCGTGTAATAAAACACCATACAAAGATGCATAACACACATGTGTCCACCAACACTGATTCCTTACATCACATGGTTCAAAACTCCCACCAGAGGGACACCACAATGCACTCTGTAATTCATAACCTTATATTTGGTCGACTTTCACCCAAGATTAATCATTACAGTTATAGTCTAAGTTTGCATTAATATTGATCATGGCTTTTACAATATTAAAAAAACAACATATGCGAATGATTTATATTTTAAAGAAAAAAAGCATGATGCTACGTTACTTTCTGTCTGCCCCAGGGTTGGCCTATGTGAGGTCCACGTGTTCGTATTCGGGTGTGGGGGTGAGCGACGACGACTGCAGCGGACGGTTTGTGAAAATAGTAACGCACGAAACCGGACACATGTACGTGTTTTAACTGGCTATGTGTCTGTGACTTGGCCATAAGGTTTAAAATCTAAGTGAGGTGCTGGTTTGCTGTCAGTTGGAAAATGGAACTATACATGTATAAAAAGCCCTTCTTAGAAGGGAATAGCCTGCCATGTATTTTTTCTCTTTCATTGGGAGAGACGAATTGAACTGAGCCACTGTTTCATACTTGAATCGTAACATTTTGTATAGAGGATTGGCTTTCGTGATGATTGTAATCTAAATCTCAAACAACTCTCTAAAAAGCAAAGTTACAGCACAGAAAAGACCCATATTAAGACAGTGATGTGGACATAGTCTTCAAGCAATTGTTTACACCATTAAATGACGCCTTTAAACTATATTTTACTGTGTACCAGTTTCGGGTCTCCCCATGACGGCTCCAGTGGTTCTATGTCCAGTTGTGCTAATGGCAAAAACCTGATGGCCAGCACTGGAGGGAATGACACGCCTTCCTCCTGCACCATCAAAGTATGGCAAGATAGATTTAGGTAAGGAAGTCGGTGCTCTTGAACACGAAAGACTTGTCGGTGTTCATATTTGTCCAGACAATAATGTTTTTTTAACCTCAAAAGGAGAATAGATGACCATTTGTATTGACAGGGGTCCAAAGTGAGACCATAAGCACCACTTCCCCCATTTAACGCTAGCGATTGTGTCGAATGCATGCAGCATCACCCGTAGAAACCTCACCTCTCTACTGTCGTCATGCCTCTGCAGTTTCCAGTATCCTAACTGTTACTGAAAAGGACAAAGACATACTGGCAGGAGAAAGTTGAGTTTCCAGGGAACTCGAAAACTAGCAAGTGACATACTGAAAGAAGTAATTTAATAAGAGATGGTTTTGTCCTAGTATGTCCTGTATTTTCGCAAATTAAGTCACAACACAAAGAACTTAAGGCCTATATGTTTTACATTTTAGGTCCAGTGGTGGAAGTTGCACATATAACAAGTAGGACGGAAATAGATTACTTCAGACAGTCGTTCAGTCTGCTAGAGTGTAAACCGGGGCCAAGATTAAAGGGCACCAAAACCGCACACTTGCCAGAGTAGCTCAATCCATTATTTCGATTCGTTCGATATTACATTTTTGTCTCGTTTCAATTAAACTCGAATAAACAACTGCTATTTATTGTGTGTGCGATTAATCCTATATACACGTATGAAACTGAATATCTGGTGCTGAGTTTTTTTAAAAAGGAAAGTATATTCCAAAGTATTGATAGCAATCCATACTAAGTTTTCAGTTTTATGATGTCAATTGCAACAGTGGTATGATGGTGACAAATATCTGACCTCGATTGGACATATCGATTGAAGTTATCGAGAGATACCAAGTCAATTCAGATGAAGATAAATTACATTACCATAGATTTCGAATCGCAACCGTAGATAAAACTGACCGGGGAGGGCCCTACGGCAAATGTTTATGAGTTGCCAAAGCAATCTATAAAGACATCCTTTTCTCACATTGCACCAAACCTTTTAAATTTTCTGAAAAAGAAATACGCAGTCATTTGTTTGGTTTTTTTATTGATAAGGAAGCAATAATTCTCACGGTTATTGAATATGACACATCTTTCGCGATCTTGTCGAACTATTTGGGAATGACCCCTCCGGTTGATACAGAGGACGATATATACATACGCGATATATAAGGGAGTGTCTGAAAAAACGGCACTTACAAAGCACTATGTCGTTGTCAAACACGTTAATTTGGCTGGTGTCAGCTGCCATATTTTACATAAACGCTTGTGAAAGTCAAGAAATCGTTCACACAAAGAACGGGCCGCTACGGGGCAGCTCGAAGACCGTAAACGGCGCACGCGTGTTGGTATTCCAGGGTATCCCATTTGCCGAGGCTCCAGTCGGACAACTGAGATTTAAAAAACCTATTCCAAAAGGAAAATGGAAAGGTATAGTGTCACTGTATATGGTAAACGACGGATTGAAAATGCAATACATGATTTATCTAAATGTTTAAACTAAATATGTAATAACGAGCCATTTGGTACATTTTATTTAGGAGTCTTGAATGCTACTGAGAATGGCGCCTCGTGCATCCAGTTTCTGGAGTCTTCCGCTATAGCCCACTTGGAGAACGCACATGTATCCGAAGACTGTCTCTTCCTTAATATCTACGTTCCGGGTTAGTATGTTCATGTACAAAAATACCTGGATATTTTGTGCTGTTTTTAAAATAATAATTTAAAAATTATTGGATAATTATAATGCAAGGCTGAGAGTAATACAGTGTAGAAGCATTTGAGAAGGAGAAATGTCGTCATAAATAGTAACTTAGGTTGTTTTTTCAAATGGCACATTTCCACAATGCCACCTTCAAAATGATACTTTAGCCCCAGCAATATAGAAAAAGTGTTAATATTGAGTTTCGTCGTTAGTATATAACATTCACACTTTTAGCTTTATGGAGGCCGGGTGAGGCTAGACACCGTTGTCATATGCTGTAGATAGTAGAGATTTCACATAATACCTGAAAGCATTTTCTTATCATGAACCGCTGTCCTATCTCTTTTCCAGATAAAATCGATAAATCCTCTCTCAAAAGTGTTATGGTGTGGATACACGGGGGAGGGTACGCTATAGGCACGGGGTCTCACATCCACGCAGATCTTCTGGCGGTTACCGGGGGGACGGTCGTGGTAACCATTAACTACAGGCTGAATATATTTGGTTTCCTAGCAACCAAGGGGTCTCCAGGTAACATCGGTCTATGGGACCAGACCTTGGCTTTGCAGTGGGTTCAGGATAATGTGCTAGAGTTCGGTGGTGATCCTAAAAAGGTGACGATTTTTGGCGAAAGCGCGGGAGGCACAAGCGTAAGTCAACTTGCATTGTCTCCTCATACGAAGGGCTTGTTTCATCGTGTTATCAGTGAAAGCGGGGTATTGTATTCCCCTTGGGCGTGGTCACATCAGCAAGACGAACTGGTGGCGGCAGTCGCAAAATACCTTCACTGTCCCCAGGACTCTCACATGGTCGATTGTTTTCGACAGCACAGCGCTCTTACTATATTTGTAGCAGCAACAAACGCTAGAAATGAAGTGGTCAAAAACATGATGGGTATCCCTTTCGCCCCAGTTGTCGACGGAGATTTCTTCCCAGAGTCACCGATGGTCACTCTGAAACAGAAATCTTCGGAAAGTTACCTGCGCTTTATTAGTCTCGATTACATGGCGGGGACTATGAACGCGGAAGGGGGACTTGTAATTCTGGCCCTGACGTCACCAAATCTTCCGTTTAACGTGTCCCTGGGAGTGCCGACGTCATACGTGGTGAAACACGCCATACCAGATGAGGTGACGTATTTTTACGACAGCAGCAACAGGGACAAAATACAGGATGCGATCATCAAGGTGTACGCTGCTGACCCCAAAGTGGACATAGTCACTCAGGGGAGAAAACTAGTGGACATGTACGGAGACATGATGTTCGTAGCGCCTACTCTGCAGCTGCTTAGGGCACACGCCAATTCCACTGCGCCACTGCATGGGACGACGTACCAATTTTATTTCACGCACGTGCCGTCGCATCACATGATCCCCACGATGCCATGGATAAAGGGCGCGAACCACGTGGACGAGCTGCCGTACGTGTTTGGCGCCAAAACCATGTATCCGTCTGGAACAAACTTGACGCCGGAAGAACAAAAATTATCACTTGAGATCATGAGATACTGGTCAAACTTTGCGAAAACGGGGTGGGTATCACGATCGAGTCTAAATATCGACATACGTAGCTTTAGCTTTAGCTTTAGTTCGATGCAAGCCATTTCGTTAATTTCTAGACTTTGACGTTTAATGATTGACGTCATTGTGGTGATCATAAGGATGACACCCAGTGCTTATCTTGTAATTAAAACTATCAAGGGAATAGCAGGCAAACAAATATAATAGGTGGTCACAAATGGAGTAAAAAATTCGTTAATGGGTAGCATTGGAACCAACACAAACGCACAGTCTACACAAGGCAGATTGGAGTAATGTGCTGTTGGCCGTACGTAATGTTTTCAGACAAAATCAAACCAACCCACACATCCTATTCCCTCCCCTTATGTATTGCCATTTATCATAGATCTGCCAATTTTATCTTTTCAGTAACCCCAATAACGGGACCGGAGTCACGTGGCCAGAGTTCCAGACGTCCAATCAATCCTACATAGAGCTAGGGGACGCAGTTCAGGCCAAAGTTAATATTCTTCCACAAAGAATGCGTTTGTGGTTGGAAGAAATACCGAACTTACTCGGCTGATTCATTCCCGTTGTATCTTCATCTTGTATGTAATTACACCCATGTATAAGAATAGTATGAACATGAATATCTGAACAAATATGCATTATATCTGAACCATTTCCAACTATAGAAAACAGGCAACTCTCTTCAATACCATCCTACATGTACGTCTTCATGGGACAGATAATCATGCAAGACGACTGTTTTTGCCACCCTGAGCTTCAGAGATAACTTGACACTAACTTCTTCACTATAGCCTATCTTCATCGTGTCGCGTTATCTCTGAAGCTCAGGGTGGTTTTTGCTGGTGTCTGATAGCGTAAATTAAAGGAAAAACACCTCTGCTCAGAAATCCATGTCACCATATCCGGACTTAATCTACAAAACATGCAAAAGTATTTTTAGATAATCTGACATAAAATAAGTAAACAATGTGAATGAGCTATGTGATATATTTCGATTTTACTTTTCAAATAACGCATTCAATTTTTATTTCTATTCAGATTTATAAGAGTTGTGCTTCATCACGTATAATTGTTTTTAAAAGAGCCAATATAATCTCGTGAAACCATGTATCTTGTTCCAATACAGGCCTACCATGCTGGAACACGATTCATATAACCAGTGCGTGCTGGTCTTCAGCCATCGTTACTACTCGTAGGGCTAGTATCCTTGTAGCCCCTCCCTCCTCGTATCAAGTAATTACATTTTTAATATGCGATTCGCCAAGCCAGATTTTAAGACGCGAAGAATTAAGTCTGGCATATTGTGTTTGTATATATAAATAAAACGCGCATCATGAAAAGTGGAATGTGGCAGTGTGAATTGCGACAGTTGAGTTAAGGAAAAACACTTGACTTACTACTGCAATACGCCTTGTTATTTAGGTATGTGTGGTTTGTGTGTGTGTGTGTGTGTGTGTGTTAGAGAGAGAGAGAGAGAGAGAGAGAGAGAGAGAGAGAGAGAGAGAGAGGGGAGGACAGAGCACAGGTAAAAAAAGAGGGACTGGGGGAGGGGGCGCATGATCACTTTCAAGAGGCAATTTTGCCTAATTATTATGTTTTTATTACAGCTTGTTATTAATTCAATCGTATTAAGTGCTCTCATTACACTATAGAGAATCAATTTAACTTATGTGTTTTAACTAAAAGTCCTAACTGAAGACGCGTTATTGGAACAAAATATACTATACGCGTATCAAAATGTCTTAAAATCATATTTTCTTAGTTTTTGTATCCTGCAAAGCTTCTTATCTTTCCCAATTCAGACTTTAAAAACGATAAAACCCCTCAAATAAAAGTAATTGATGTCACTATTTCTTTCTGAAATGTACAGAACGATCTTAGAACTAGATTATCTAATTAGAAATGATTTAAAACATCAAATCCAAGGATCAGGCAATGATACGTAAATAGGAGAAATTTCAAGAGAAATTTTAAGAGAAATATTTTATTTCTGTCTCAGTGAGCCACAGTACAGCACGACCGAGTGGAACAAGACAAAGATGACTATATTCATTATCTTTGAAAATTTTGACGTTTGTTTCTGTGTTGTTTCTTGCGTTTTTGGGACTACGATTTCTTCATTTTATGGAGTGCTACATGTAGAAGGCACTGGGCCTGACTTTATTAGACCGAGGTAATACATGTTTTGCACGTGGAAAAAGTAAAATCCACTGCATCACGGTGGATAATGATGAGGAGTAAAAACCTAAAACGCGATGCTTCATTTCCTATCTGTGTTTAATTGCCTAAGCAAATATGCAGCATTTTCGAGTCTATTCCTTCACTTAAGAGCCAAAATTTTAAACCATTACGTTCCCAGAAGGGGTTTAAACGTATTCGGAGAATCATCCAAGGGCAGGTTTGAGTCGTATCATAGACCATGAGAGACGTGTTGAATGCTGCTACACCCAGGCGTTGTCAGTTACACTTCCGTCATGTTCCGCGCGCCATCAATATTTCTATATCCGTGTAGCAATTTCATTGAAGACGAAGGCCAAAAATATGTTCGTGTTTTGACGGCCTTATACTTAACTAGCATGTTGCATGTAGGTTTGCACGTCTCTACAAGGTTGTATTGTGTACAACGTGGGCTCCGTTCAGTTATGTAATACAATGTATGATGTTTTGGTTTGAATTACATAACTTAAGAAACATTTATGTTTGTACGTGAAGTAAGAGTCCCACTTCCTATGCCTACAGGCTCGTACATGCAAGTGTTTGGTTTTGCGACGATTTTTTTTCTGACCGTGATTTATATCTGTGCTATTCCAAGAAATCAGTACAGCAATTTAATTAATTAAAAATCTTCAACATTCACCAATATGACACAGGCATTCATTATAATTGTATTGTGTGGACTTTAAAAAGCTTCCTGTTAAACAATCATGACGTAGATTATCAAATAAATCCATTTGAATAGCAGAGGCATGGGTCAAAGTCAGCACATAGCCGAATACAGAAAAGCATTGAAAATTAAAGGGGCCACACTACGCGAGTCTCTCACTCCCCCCCCCCCAATCTTGATTTCCTAGATCTTCCAGAGATATAAAAGCAACATGTGAGTTGCGTATTCATAATCTGGCGAGTTAATCCTCGGCATGTGGTTTGTGGTCCGACAGAAGCAGCAATTACAAGTGCGTTTCAACAATCACTTTCTTGTTTGTCGAAGCCGAACGAATAAATCTTTTGCTCCCCGAGAGATGGCGTTGAATGTACGCATTCTAATTGAAAGCAGACTCTGGGAGCCGAAGCCACACATGGACGGTTTAACTCCTCCACAAACACGGTGCTAAGACAATGGCTTCAGGATCGCCCGGCGCTTAGACGTTTGTGAGGAGCCTTCGCAAACCTTTTCTACCCCAAAGACTCTGCTGAAAGCTGGGGGTGTTGTCAGAGAAAGCCTATGACTTGGACTCAGGGTGAAATTTACAGCACGTTTTTTCAGATGATCTCGGCCTAGTTTCTGCTTAGTACCAGTAGGTTCTACTATGGGGAAGCTGCGCTGTTGCAAGATGCGGGTTTTTGCCGTTGTTCTGGGATGGATGGCTCTCGTAGTGTCCGTGGTGTTGCTGGTTAATCTGCTTTCAACAGGTTGGTAACTATATATGTATGCAGGAATTCAGTTTAATAACAGTCACATTCAGTGTTGTCAAAGCCATATTATGTAATGGTTTCGATTGACAGTGTTGGCGTTGTTGTATTGGTAGTAAAGCTACTAGTAGGCCTATAATGGTCCCATTCAAAACAAGCGTACTGTCTGTTTGATAAAATTCAGGTGCATGCTTAAAGATTAATAATTAACTTAATTTGGGCATTATTTTGTTCTTAAAATTGTTATGGATTTTTTTATGGAAAAAATAACAGAAATAGGTTGGTTAAATTAAAAGACATTTGAAAAAAAAAAAGTAATTTACAACAGCGCTCTTAGGAAAATTATGATAATGTAACAGATTTTTGATATCTCAAGTAGTCTGTTGGCATTTTCTGGTGGTTCAGAAAGAAACATATGGGGAAATAACATAGATAATATCTAACCAAGGTTCAAGTTAAAGGAAGATCCCATGGAACAAGGCCTGGCATTGAGAATTTCTGCAGTTGTAAACTCTGCTGGAATCTTCCTGTATTTGACTCACATCGTCTGTTATGTCTGTCCACTCAGAGTTAAGCACAGTAGGAACAACACTGACCCTTTGCGAAGTAACAGGAGTGAAAATTAGGGGAAAAAAGTACAAAGCATTGCATTGGGATCTTTCCAGCATGCATGTTGTTTCTGACCACTTTCCCTAATATTATTACTTCAGCCCGTTTTTTTTTTTTTTTTTTTTTTTTTTTTGACAAAGAAATCTGTGACAGGTTGGAGAACTGAAATTGGATTGTTTTTCCTTTGGTCAAATCAATCCAGGGCAATTTTTCAAGCAGAAGCATTTTACATGCTTGCTAAGACCAAGAGAAACTACACATATGTGCATGTTATTTAATAAGAAGTTTCCATCATTAAATAAGTATTAATTATCTTATAACATGTGCTTCTACATTTGTCATTCTAGCAAAGTAGCCACATAAAAAAGTATGTTCTTTATCAGGCAGTCCCCATACATTGTTTATAAAGTTTCAAACAGATCTTGGACAGAGCCAAAACAAATCATCCCCTGCTATAGAAAACTGATGGGTACTCACTTCTACCCTGCATAACCTGTCTAGTACTGATATATGCTGGTGATGAAGTGATAGGAGTGAGTTTCCTGTGTAGTCTGAAACTCGGGGTTCACAAAGTACATGTACTCTGGATTTGATCCAGTTTATTCAGTTCCGGATAGAGTGGGGGAGGGGAGAAATAGGGTGGTAGAACTTTTTGGGTGAAAGAATGGATCGTTAAACTTCAGACTGGTCATAACTGAATGAAAAAATAGCTTTAAAAAATAGGCAAAAACTATTGTCCATGATTTTTGACTAATGTCATGGTGTGAGGCAGATCACGGTTGCTGGGGACAGTATTCAAATCATTGTGAATGTGATTGATGTAGTATAGACCGTCTTAGGACCTTAAAGATGCATCCACATGGTTTAAACACTAGGAGACTTGGGTATTTTGGGGAAAAATGGGGGGTGGGGGGAGAAGGCAAAAGAACTGCATGCCCTTTTGTTGGGAAATGGTCCATGCTGAATCAATTGTTATTTAAAGTCATCTTTTGGTGGCAGAAGTTTTATT